TTAAAGCACCTTCCAAAGATGCTAAAACAAGTGACATCAAGTATTTTAAGTGTCTTGGCCGTGGGCACATTGCTTCTCAATGCCCAACAAAGAAAACCATGATTTTAAGGGGCCAAGATCACTATAGTAGCCTTGATGAAGCTACTTCCTCATCTTCAAGTGATGAAGAAGAAGTTTTAGAGTCCGAGGAAGAAACTTACCCATGTGAAGGAGACTTATTAATGGTAAGAAGGCTCCTTGGGAACCAATCTAGTAATTTAGACCAATCCCAAAGAGAGAACTTGTTTCATATAAGACGCAAGGTTTTAGAAAATACTTGTTCTTTCATTGTGGATAGTGGATCTAGTTGTAATTTTTGTAGTACTAGATTGGTTAACAAGTTAGCCTTGACTACTCTACCTCACCCTAAACCTTACAAGTTACAATGGATAAATGAGGAGGGAGGTATTATGGTCAACCAACAAGTAAATGTACCTATCTCCATTGGAAAGTATAAAGATGAACTTTTATATGATATAATGCCATTGAATGCTAGTCACATTTTACTTGGAACGCCTTGACAATTTGACAAGAAAATTATTCATGAAGGCCTCTCTAATAAAATAAGTTTCCACCACTTGGGCAAGAAAATTGTATTGTGCCCTCTATCACCTTCCCAAGTGAGTGAGCACCAACTCAAAATGAAAGCCAAAAGAGAAGAGGATGAAAATAAAAGAAGAAAAAAAAAGAAAGAAAAAAAAGGTCTCCCCATAAAAGCTAAAGAAGGGGAAGGGAAGGTATCAAGTTTAGAGGCAAGTGTCCCCTCTAAAGAAGTTGCTCACAAAAGTCACTTATCCATTAAAAATTACATCAAAAAATAAATTTTTTCTATTTTACTATTTTTTAAATAATATATATTTTATGCACTAAATTTATTTTTTATTCATAAAAATTATAACGATTGTACTAATGTACTCAACACTCAGTTCATGTTATTGTAATTTTTATCGACTCTAGTAATTGTTATACAATTAGTACTATTATCCATCAATTCAATAACATGAAAATCATTCAGATTCAAGTCTAGGCATTGAAGCAGCTCAATCAAGAGAATGTATTGTGATCTCTCAAAGAAAGTATGCCTTGGTTATTCTTAAGGGAACAAGCATGGCCGAATGTAGTGTCATCGATAGTCCCATGGATCCAAATAAAAAATTAATGGTAGATCAAGGTGAAGCTTTTCCAAATCCATAAAGGTATATAAGACTTGTTGGGAAACTCATTTATCTCACAATGACTAGAGTTTTAACATTACCTTTGTAGTTAGGGTTGTTAGTCAGTTCATGCAAGCTCCTTATGTTGCTAATTGGAATGTTGTGATACGTATTCTTAGATACATCAAAAAGACTCCAAGATAGGGGATGTTCTATGAGGATAAAGGTAATACCCAAATTTTTGGATAATGTGATGTGAATTAGGCAGTTTCCCCTATTGATAGGTGTTCTACTACAAGATATTGTGTTTGTATGAGGAAACATTGTCTCTTGGAAGAGCAAGAACCAAAATGTGGTAGCCTAGTCTAGTGCGGAAGCTGAATATACAGCAATGACCTCGGCCACTTGTGAATCAGTGTGGATTAAACAACTTCTTGAAGAACTAAAGTACTGTGAAATCCACAACAAATGAAGAGCTCTGCTGCGCATTCATCTCATTTGTTTCCTTCCTATTGCTATGGAGGACGAAACTCATTCAACACCCCCTTTTCACAGTTTCCTCTATCTTCATCCTGGCGAGAATCCTGCCACTGCGCTTGTATCACCTGTTCTTGATTCAGGCAATTATCATTCATGGAGTAGATCCATGCTTACTACTCTTAGTGCCAAAAACAAGATGGAATTTGTGGACGGGAATGCTCCACAACCGCCTAAGTCTGATGTTACTTATTCCGCATGGCATCGATGTAATAATATGGTTGTCTCTTGGCTTGTACATTCAGTTTCTCCTTCTATTTGTCAGAGTATACTTTGGATGGACAAAGCTGATGAGATTTGGAATGATCTTAAATCAAGGTACTCTCAAGGTGACCTCCTTCGTATTTCAGATTTGCAGTATGAAGCTTCTTCCCTTCAACAGTGAGACCTTTCTGTCACTGAGTTCTTCACAAAACTTAGGATTATTTGGGACGAATTGGAAAATTTTAGGCCAGATTCTACATGTTCATGTACCCACAAATGTTCTTGCAATGTTTTACCCACCATTGCTCAAAGGAAGCGAGAAGATCAAGCCATGCAATTCTTACGTGGATTAAATGAACATATAGCAATGTCAGATCTCATGTTCTCCTCATGGACCCCATTCCTCCAATTTCTAAGATTTTCTCCTATGTTGCTCAACAGGAACGCCAGCTTTTGGGGTCTAATTTTGTTGCCAATACGGTTACAAAAATTGTTGCAATCAATGCAACTACTTCATCTTTCACACGTACCCACTGTGATAAATCAGGACACACGGAGAATCTATGCTATCGTAAACATGGTTTTCCTTCTAACCATGACAACAAAAGCAATCGTGGTGCCTCTAATCAGTCTGGTAAAATTTGTATTCACTGTGGGAGAAAAGGACACACTATAGATGTATGCTACCGTAAACACGAGTTTCCTCCAGGTTACAAATCCCCGACTAGCAAGACTTCCATTGTAAACAACACGGTGACTGGTGAATGTAAATGCCATTCAACCCTCTATATGTTCTACTGTCTGCAATCCTGAATGTAGCATTCAATCCATTGATCTGTGGCATTTTCGCATGGGTCACTTGCCATATGAAAAATTACATTCTATGAAACAATATTACCCATGTCTATATAGTAACAAACACTTTACGTGTAACACCTGTCATTATGCTAAGCAAAAGAAACTCCCATTCCCTCTGAGTCATTCTCATACATCTAAATCTTTTGACTTACTTCACATTGATATCTGGGGACCTTGTTCAAAAATATCTTTACATGGACATCGTTATTTTCTTACCATAGTTGATGATCATACACGATTTACGTGGGTTTTTCTCATGAAAACTAAAGCAGAGGTGCGTAATTGTGTAACCAATTTCATTGCTTACGTTGAAAACCAATTTGAAACTCAAGTCAAAGTTATAAGAACTGATAATGGGGTTGAATTTTCCATGAATAAATATTTTGAATCCAAAGGAATTATTCACCAAACCACATGCATTGAAACTCCTGAGCAAAATGGAATTGTTGAACGTAAACATCAACACCTTTTAAACGTTACCCGTGCACTCCTTTTTCAATCTGCTCTTCCCCCTTCGTTTTGGTGTTTTGCACTCATGCATGCTACATACATCATCAACTGCCTTACCACGCCTTTCTTACAACATATTTCCCCTTTTGAAAAATTATATGGCAAACCATGCGACATTACCACTCTTCGTGTCTTTGGATGTCTTTGTTATGTTAGTACTATTAAAGCCCACCGTAAGAAATTGGATCCCAGGGCTCACCCTTGTGTTTTTCTTGGATTCAAACCCCACACCAAAGGCTATCTCACCTTCAATCTTCACACTCGTAACATTGAGGTTTCTCGAAATGTTATATTTTATGAAGACCATTTTCCTTATGTTGATCATATTGCTCAACCTACATCATTTACTCCATCTCTCCCTCTACCTTTCACAAATGACTACATTATTTCTGACTTCAATCTTCATAATCTTGCACCTTCCACTTCTCAGCCTCCTCCTTCTATTTCTTCACCCGAATCTGCTCATTCAACCCCTGCTCCTCGTCGGTCTACTCGTTCACATCATCCACCTTCCTATCTTCGAGATTTTCATGTGACACTTACATCAACTGGATCACCATCTTCTCCAGGTATTCGCTATCCCTTAGAGTCTTTCATTTCTTATGCTCACTTATCTTCATCTTTTCGTCATTTCATTTTATCTATTTCTACTACCACCGAGCCTAACTCTTTTGCTGAAGCTTCTAAGCATGACTGTTGGATTAAAGCTATGAAAGATGAGATCACTGCCCTAGAAGCCAATAATACCTAGACTATCACCTCTTTACCACCCAACAAAGCAGCAATTGGTTGCAAATGGATTTACAAGATAAAACACAATGCTGATGGATCAGTTGAACGATACAAAGCCCGCTTAGTAGCCAAAGGATACACACAACTTGAGGGCCTTGACTTTATTGACATGTTTTCACCGGTTGCTAAGTTAACTACAGTTCGCCTTCTCTCATTGGCTGCAATTCATAACTGGTTTCTTAAACAGTTGGACATCAATAATGCATTTTTGCATGGTGATCTCAATGAGGAAGTATACATGCATCTTCCTCCTGGTTTACCCTCCACTAAATCGGGACAAGTTTGCAAGCTAAATCGTTCCTTGTACGGGCTCAAACAGGCCAGCCGTCAGTGGTATGCCCGCCTCTCAACGTTTCTTTTGACACATGGATATACACACTCTTCTGCAGATCATTCTTTGTTTTTGAAGTTTACAGATTCTACTAGTACAGCTCTCCTAGTTTATGTTGATGACATCGTTCTTGCTGGGAACAACCTCATTGAAATACAACGCATCACTACTCTTCTTGATCAAGCTTTTAGAATCAAAGATCTTGGAGATTTAACCTATTTTCTTGGTCTTGAGGTTGCTAGAAACAACACTGGTATTCATCTGAGTCAACGTAAATATACACTTGACATTCTTTCTGACACTAGCATGTTAGCTTGTTGCCCATCATCCACCCCAATGGATTATAAAGCTAGTTTATCTGCTGATACAGGTACCCCTTTGACTGATCCCTCTTCCTATCGAAGGTTAATTGGGCGCTTGATTTATCTCACCAACACTCGGCCTGATATTGCTCACGCTGTCCAACATCTTAGTCAATTTGTTTCTCAGCCCACATCTTCTCATCAACAAGTTGTTTTTCGTATACTTCGATATTTGAAACAAGCACCTGGACAAGGCATTTTTCTTGCTGCAGACAGCTCCCTTCAATTGAAAGCCTTCAGTGATTCTGACTGGGCGGGTTGCACAGATACTCGACGTTCTGTCACAGGTTTTTCCATTTATATTGGACACTCACTCATTTCATGGAGATCAAAGAAACAACCCACCGTGTCACGCAGTTCATCAGAAGCAGAATATCGAGCTCTTGCTTCCACCGCTTGTGAAATTCAATGGCTCACATATCTTTTAGAAGATTTTCGCATCTCCTTCACTCGACCTGCTCTCCTCTATTGTGACAACCAATCTGCTCTCCAAATCGCATCCAACCAGGTGTTTCATGAACGAACGAAACACATCGAAATAGACTGTCATCTCGTTCGAGAAAAAGTGACCAATGCTTTACTCAAACTGCTGCCTGTGTCATCCTCCTTTCAACTGGCTGACATTTATACCAAAGCTCTATCTCCTTCTCGTTTTAAAGAGCTGTGTTCCAAGCTGGGAATGTCCAATATCTATTCCCAGCTTGAGGGGGGCTCTTAACAACTCTACATATTGCCTTCAACCAAGTATTTCGTGAGAGATTTAAACATAGAGATTGACCGTCATTTTCTAAGGAAAAGCTACTGTCCAAGGAGATTAGCACCAAATTTGTCAATTCAAATGATCAACTAGTACATGTCCTAATAGAGTCCTTGAGAGGTCCTCAGATTCAGTTCATATGTTCCAAGCATGGTGCATACAACCTATATGCTCCAGCTTGAGGTGGAGTGTTAGAAAAGCTGTTTTATTATCTCTTCTTCAGCTTTTATAAAGCTGTTTTTTTATTCTATTCAGACTTTAGGATTTGACCACCTTTTCTTTCTCTATACAAACTTTTAATGACTTTTACATACATATACAATGGTCTCCTGAGTGAGGGAATAACCCACTCAAGCATTTTCTTTAACCCTTAATCAAGTATGAGGATATTGTATGACTGAACCTGTATATTTCTTTCATACCGAGAATATTTTCAGGAATGCCTTCTGCTTGAAGAAGCTTCATTTGCAAACTCTTGTTCTGCAAGATATGTGGCTGTTAGTGGTGGCACTGAAGGCATTGATAGAGCAGAGAGAAATATTTAGCAATCAGTTTTTGCAAATAATTATCCCATAAACTCTGCAGAAGAATGCCAAGCACAGTATGACACATTTCAAAAATGAAACAGCCAAATCACAATAATAGTGTTAGTTTTAAGGAGAAAAGAAGTTTTATATACCTCCTTTAGCAAGTTTATTTCGGGCTCAGATAAACCTCTCCTGAAATATTTTGGAAATAAATGAGAAGCAAGATATACTGATACACAGTTACAAAAGCATAGCATGGCCAAAACATATCATTTTGACAGATACCCATTAGTTAGTTAGTTAGTTAGGATATTAGATTATTTTGATCTTCTCATTTGTGAGAGAATTGGAACCTTTGCCAAATGGGACACACAGATAATAAAAAGTCTGCAAGTTAAGCCTCGTATTTAGGAGGAAAATCTCTTATTCTTTCTAATAAGATATCAGGTTTCTATCATATTTATACTTCAATTACAATTTATAGTTTATAATATAAAACAAACATGACTCAATATGTATAAAATTGTCTCAGATTAGGAGGAAAAGGCAAAACAACTATTTTCAGGCACAATTAAAATTATAAAATTACAATGATATCCCAAACATTTTTATATTATTAATAATGAACTTCCACTTATATTCTAATAAAATAATATTTAAAAGAGAATAGTAATCTGGAGGATCAGAAAGAGAACAGAACAACAAACAAAAATATTTCCTATTATTGTCTGCATTGAACAAATAGTGGAGAAGCTTCTTCCTTCTTCTTCCTATTAAAAAGCAAGATAAATGGGGGATAAAATGCCCTCCATATAGAAAGAAACAATTAAATAAAGCAAAAAACAAACAAGTACACTTAAAACAAGTAGCTCTCCAATTTCCTTGCATATATATGTATACCAAGGAGAGCACCTTATGGAAACTCTGTTTTAAACATGACAAAAGCCAAGGAACAATTATCTCTTTAAGAAAGTTTAAACTTTGAAGTCAAAGATATATCCCTGAAAGTCTGATTATTTGACATTTTGACTCCAACCAAAGAAACTAGGGTCAAAATTGAACCCCTCCATTTCAAATAAAAATTAAAATAAAAGTTGCAGAGAATTATCACAAACAAGTAAACAAAGATCACAGGTTCAAATACAATAAACACCATCCTTCACATGTGACATTTATACATAATATTTTATTCTGGCACAAAACAAGAAAAGTTGTTTTATAAATGCATGTGTGAAATGAAGAAATGATTTTGGCATAAGTTGCTATCATAAAGTCCAAATCAAACTCAAACAAAAATAACTGGACAGATAAGACTAACAATGCTCTATGGTAGGGAATGTGTATACTGGTATCATCATTGTAGAAGGTTGACAACTCAACATGCTCTATGACAGGGGTTTCCCCTAGTTCTTGACCTAGTCAATGGTGATTTGAATGAAAACTGTTGGCATTGCATTTTTTCTACCATCTTGATATGCATTGCCTCACTGGACCTGGTGAAGACCCTACTTTTAGTCATCAAGGAACTCAACTTAGTTGAATGATCAATGAATTGAGCCATATGTTCCTTCAACATTGAGTTATGTGACCTCACCTACACATATTTGCAATGTCATTCTAGTATGCATGCACTAACCATAATCTCCCAAAGCCTTTGAACGAAAGCACCAAATTGATGGAAACAAAAATATATTTAGTTTGCATTAAATGAAATTGAATATAGGAAATATAGTAAAGAGCAATAGCTCCCTAGCTAAGGAATGGTATCCTATACCCAAGCTAAACTGCAAACTATAACCCAAAAATGTTAAGTCCATATAGAGAAACATTCCCTTTAATCAGATCAAATTCATTTTCTCTCTCCATAACTGACTTCCCTCCGTAACATAGTAAAGACACAAGTACTTTGGACCTTCAATTTAGGGCTACAAGAATATACTCAAACTCATCAGTTTGAACTGTATACATATCCACGATTCTATAAGAGCAGACATTCTTTGAACTTATAATAAATGACAACATTTTACAAAATTACTCACCTATACCCATATTTAGGTTTCCTCTCATCATGCTTGGGATTTAAAATAAAAATATTATATGCATTTTCAAGTTGAAGGTATTCAACAAGGCTGGACAAAAGACCATCTATCAAGTCCACATCTACTTGCCAACCACCAACGTTGTTGTCCCTACAAAGAAGAATTTGGAAGAATAAGATAGAGAGAAATTCAAAAGACAAAGCAGAACAAGACATGTTATGTTCCTAAGGTAGTGGCTCGACTTTTTTAGAGCCTCAAATTAAGCTTTAAAGCTACTTTGAAGTTAAATAAATAAACTTCAAATTTAAAGTTATTTCGTAATTCTACAGTTATTTTAGCTTGAAATCCACTTTAAAGTTAATTGTTTTTAGGTAGTGTGTTTTTGGATCTTGAGATTTGAAATAAAGAAGAAAAAGGAGAAGTAGATGGCTTTTGCTCTTAAAACTAGCTTTTTAAAAGTCCATTTTTTCAAAGTTTTCTTCATTAAAAAATCCATGTTTAGCATAGTTTCTCTGTTTAAGGAGAAAAGAAAATCAAAATAATATGGGCAATTCCATAATTAAACATGTAGAGGGGAAAAATAGAACCATTAGAAAGAAAACCTCTTTACAAGCTTGAAAGACTCTTGTAAATATCATAGATAATTTACCCATCATATAGGGAAAAGAAAAGAAGAAAAAACGGAGAATGGGATTTGAATATGAGCACAAATATTTGAAAAGAACTCATAATGGTTCTACTAATGCGTAATCTAATTGAATAAATAATTAAATATAATTTACCAGCTGCCAACCGGATCATCCTTGTGGCCAAACACATTTATGGCATGCTCAATTATGGAAGTAACCTTCTCCCCCATTTCAATAGCATGAACAGAAAAGCTGCACAGAAAGTCCACTGTCAGACCAACAAAAGATAGTACGATTTTGTTTCTCACCAAAACTGAAATTCCAGAATCAATAAGGAAAAAAAAAAATATTATATTTACTATGGAGTTCCCACATCCAATGCCTCCAAACAAGATGGTGCAAAGAAAATGACATAGAAGTGTTATTTAATAGGGGTTGGGTAAAAACATCAGAGCCAATATTCAGCTTTTGTTTGTTTGAGTTGATTTAGAAGAATTTTTCGTCCTCCTTCCACACATTTCTCTTCATTCTCCAAATATATTCTTTTATTCTAAAATAATAAACTACTAAATTAAGTGAAAGATAAAAGTACAATAAAACTGATCAGATGAAAAGGTTTAGTTTTAAACTGATGTATCATGGCCAAGAGACAACAAATGAAACCATTGGAGGCTCTGCTAGTTCTCTTCTGAGAAAGAAGCTTGCACAAGCTTCAGCTTTCAAAATTCTGTCAAGCCAATGTTCCTTTCCTTCCCTACATTCATCTCAAGGATTTTATGAAGTAAATCCTCCAAATTTGATGTCAAATCAGTCTGTTACTGATAGGCAAATTCTGATAGGCCACTGAAGTTTTAAACAAGAGACAGCTTTAATTTTGTATGTTGAGGTTATTGTTTAGATTCAGTAGAGTGCAGTCATTGTTTGTATTATTAGCTCTGAAGCACGGACACTGCCCAAGTTGGGAGTGTCCACGTGTCCAAAACGTTAGGGACACGAACTCTGCTCCAATGCATCTCTGACACGTGTCCAAAGGAAAAAAACATGTCACACAAACAAACAAAAAATTGACATTTGATGCGGCTGAAACACAGCTGTACACAGCGCTATGAAAAGATGGACGCGGCTCACTCAATCCAGATTTTTGGACGCATTTAGAATAAAATATTAAAATATTATTTACAAATCAAACTTTTTTCAAACTTCAAATAAAATATAGGTTTAGAAACTTCTCCTTCTCACGCACAGCTTTTCGTTTCTGTTCCATCTTCTTCACAAGACAACTCCTAAGTCTGCAACTACGACCGCAAGCAAGAGACCATGACTATTGACGTTTTGTTTCTGCGTCCTTCCATCCTCCGCCCGGCTGTCTAGCTTCTCACGCACGTCCTTGTGTCCTCCGTCTGGCTGTCTAACTTCTCTTCTCAAGGTAAAAAAAATATTTTCTGCGTTCTATTTCTACAATTTGTCATTCAGTTCTTTTTTCTGCATTTCATTAATGTTCTTTTGCTGCATTCTGTTTTATTTATGCATTTTGTTTTTGCGTTTCGTTCCTTTTCTGCATTCTGTTTGCTTTGATTTCTTCTTTTGTCGAGAAAACAGAGCAAGAAACTAAAGAAATAGAATGTAAGAACGAAACACAAAGAAATAGAATGTAAGAACAAAACACAAAGATAAATAAGTAACATAACGCATAAAAAAGAGCAGAACACAAAAATAAAGCAAACAGAAATCAAACACAAGAACAAAATGACGACACCAAACCTCTTTGGAATTATGTGACAAAGATAAAAAATGTAGGTGGTGAAGGAAACTTTGAAATTCAATGCAAGCTATGTGACTTGTCTTTTAATGGGTCTTACACTAAAATAAGAACACATTTGTTGAAGATCATAGGAAAAGGTGTTAGAGGTTGTAAAAGGGTAACACCCCAAAGACTTGTTGAGTTTACAAAGATGGATAATGAAGTTGGATTAAGGATAGACAAGTCAAAGGCAAAATTTGTTTCTTTGCCTCCGGTGGAGGAAACCAATATTGGTGTAGACCCAAAAAAGAGAAAGACATCTACTACTCTAGAAAATGCCTTTAACATGCAAGCTAGAGAGCCATTAGACTTCGAAATTGCTAGGATGTTTTACTCTGCAGGGCTACCTTTCCATTTAGCAAGAAATCCTTATTTTAGGAGGGCATTTTCTTATGTAGCCAACAATAGTATAGGTGGATACCAACCTCCAGGTTACAATAAGTTAAGAACAAGCTTGCTTTTTAATGAGAGAAAACATGTGGAGAACCTTTTAGAGCCAATAAAACATTATGGAGTCAAAAAGGTGTGACCATTGTTAGTGATGGGTGGAGTGATCCCCAAAGAAGACCCCTTATCAATTTCATGGCTGTGTCAGAGAGTGGACCAATATTTCTAAAGGCTATAGATTGCTCTAATGAGGTGAAGGATAGAGATTTTATTGCCAAGCACCCGAGGGATATAATTACGGAGGTTGGCCCCTTAAATGTGGTACAAATTGTGACTGATAATGCATCAAATTGCAAGGCTCTAGGTTTACTCATTGAGTCTGATTTTCCTTCCATCTATTGGGCTCCTTGTGTTGTGCACACCCTTAATATTGCTTTGAAGAATATTTGTGCAGCCAAGAATACAGAAATAAATAATGTTGTATATGAAGAATGTCGTTGGATCACAAAAGTTGCAGATGATGCCTTATTTATAAAAAAACTTTATCATGTGCCACTCTATGAGACTATCAATTTTCAATTCATTGAAGTTGCATTCCATTGCTACAACACGATTTGCTTCCATTATATTGATGCTCAAGAGGTTTAGACAATTGAAGCAAGGACTTCAAGAGATGGTTATTAGTGATCAATGGTCTTCTTACAAGGAGGATGATGTTGGAAAGGCTACATTTGTGAAGGAGACATTGTTGGATGATGTTGGTGGGATAAGGTTGATTACATACTTGCTTTGACAATGATTGAAGAGGTAAGGAAGGTCATATATCGCGATGAAAAAAAGGTGGAGAGTGAAGAATCAATCTTTTATAATGTAGTGCACACTATATTAATTGATCGTTAGACTAAGAGTAGCACACCTCTTCATTGCTTAGCATACTAAGCAAAGTTATCAAAAAACCGTTATAACGCCGCTATAACGGTATGGCGGGGCGGTTTTGGGCCTCGCCGCCATTCGCCATCCGCAAAATGGCGTTTTGTGGCGCCGTCCGCCATTTTCGCCATGGCGGCCGCCATTTCCGTTTTGACCCATAACGCTATAAAGGTGATAGCGGACGTAACGGGTCTGGGGCCAGTTTTGGGCTTCAAACTAGGCCCAACAAGTATGCCCTAATGGTTTTAGGGTTGAAGAATGAGAAGCCACGACAGCCACCCACCCAAACGCAGCTCATCTACCTTCAACCAGTCTCCGATGACGTTCCTCTGCCGTCGCCCACCACTCGCCGGTCATCTCTCTGACCGACGACCTGAACCGCGGTGGTCCACGGCTTCGACGACCTGAACCACAACGCGGGCATGAATAGGACCTATGAAATTCGAAACCATCTTTGATCACTGTCGTTCACCGTCGCCCACCACCCCTTGGTCACGTTTTTGGCCGGCGACCTGAATCGTGGTGGTCTTGCACTCCGGTGAACAACTCCGGCGAGCAACTCCGGCGAGTTAAAACCTAACAGTTTTTTTTTTCTCCAGTTTTAATCCTCCTTTTTCCTTTATTTTTTTCCTACTCCTTTGAATCCTTTCTTCATTTTTAATGAGTTGGTTGCTGCATCTGCAACAAGAATTTTTTTAATCTTAATTCTTCTACTAATTGGGTCAATTTAAATTTCTATTTTTTTTATAAATTCTAAAATAATATTGAGTTCCTATTTTATTATTGTTCCTATTTTATGAAGAGAATGATTATATTGAGGAAGAGGAGGAGAAGGATGATGATGAGAAGGATGATTAGATTAGCAAAATGCTTCTTGTACTCTTGTTTTTCTATGTTTTTTGTTGTGTTTTAATCAATTATGTTATGAGACTTAATGAATTATGGTATTGTTGTTATGATATTTAAGTATTTAAGTTGATATTATGTTGCTTTTAATTTAGTTTTGTTACTTGTTATTTATTGTTTTGCTATTTTCTTTGTATATAATATATATAAATATTTTTATTATTAATTTTTTTTTGTCCGCCATGACGCCCGTCATAGGCCGCCATGGCATCCGCCATAGAGTTATAAAGGATTTTTGGCCTCACCGCCATGGACCGTTATCCGCCATCGATAACCTTGATACTAAGGTAATAAGTTATATCCCTAAATATAATTTTTAATTCCTAAATTCTTAAATATATTTATATTTGTTATTTAAATTTATAATGATATTTTTTTATATTGTAGATATTATAGTCATGAATGGCAAAGTGAAGATTCCAATAGAGTTAGGCCACACCATAATTTGGAACTTACTCGGGAAAGGATGAAATGCTTTAAAAGGTATTTTGTTGATGCGGGAGTAAGGAGACAAGTGAATGTAGAATTTGCCAACTTCACGGATGGAAGAGAGGGCTTTGATGATATTGACTCTCCAAATAATAAGGGTAAGAAGGATGCAAAACCTGGGTGGCTTGTTCATGGTGCTCATGCTCCAATACTTCAAAAGGTTGCCCTTAAACTACTTGGACAACCATGTTCATCTACATGTTGTGAGAGAAATTGGAGCACATACTCTTTTATCCATTCCATGAAGAGAAATAAGATGGCACCACATAGGGCAGAAGATTTTGAATTTGTTCATAGCAATCTCTGCCTTCTTTCAAGGAATTCTCCACAATATCATCAAGAGGAAACTAAATTGTGGGATATAGCGGGAGATGAGTTTGATTTACTTGATGAGTTTGGAATTCTTGAAGTTGCTAATTTGTCACTAGATAAACCGGAGCTAGAGGTTATGTTTTTCGATGATGATCAAGAAGGAGATGAAAGGCGTTAAATACTTAGATCTATTTTTAGACAAAGTGGTAATATTGTAAAAAAATGCCTCTTGGTATTTTTTTTGTGAGGCTCATTATCATAGGAGTTAGCAAGTTATTTTCATAGACATGATTCATTTTGCTTTGGATTTATTTAGTAAAAAGACAATGTTTCTTTATTGTGAAATGAAGCCTATAACATACTTTGATTCTCAATTTAACATATATATATATATATATAGAGAGATAACATATACCGTGAGAACATGTTTTATTATAAGAGATGAAAAAAATAAATCACAACTTTTAAATTATAGATAAAAAAAATTTAATAGTTAAATATATATATATATATATATATATATATATATATCAGTGTCCCCGTGTCCGTGTTAGAGTCCATGCTTCATAGATAATTAGGCAGTTATTTTCTACATGTGACAGCTATTATTTAATAAGTTGTTTATCAGTTTCAGACTTTCAGTAGAAGGAGGAGGCTCCTTGTTAGGAGGAGACCTTGTGTTTCTGATTGTGTATTTGAATCTGACCTATAAACCAGATTAAATTACTAATGTAATTCAGCATTTTGTGTGTTTAAATTCTTGAGTCTTAACAGTTCTTCCACAAACTTCTTTAACCGTTAAAGTCTCTAATGCAGTGAAACTTGAAAGTGATATCCATTTCAGAAATGTAAAGAGTAAAATTTATTGTAAACACAAAATGATGCCAAGCGCTGGTCTTTAAATTCAAGGCCAGGTGAAAAGAAAACAAAAGAGTATCTAAAAACAGAGTTAAGAGTCTTTTAATTTTTTTTGTATTTTTTGGGGGAGTTAGTATAGAAAGTATTACTTGTAATTTATGTGACTGACAACAGGAAGGTGGTGCCATCGCATTTTATCCATACGGGTTTTGTAAAATGGAATAAGAACTTCTTCATGTCGAATCCGAGTGTGTTCAAAGATGTGATCAATTTTGGTAAACCAACGCTCAATTTCTTCTGGAAGAAGCTTGAATTCTGAAAGATACAAAAAGCACTATAGAATGCACAATACCAATAAAATGAAATAACTAAAGAAAAGATAAGTTAGTCTTCAACTATTACCATGGCTGCCCTTCCCTTCAAATCCTATAAATATAAAATTCATAGGAATGGGAAGGTGGATGGAATCAACTTCCTGAAGCTTTAGATAGTTAGCAATGTTACCTGAAATACAACAATTTTTTTACATAAAACAGTAGGTGCTCCGTTTTCAAAATAAACTACAGAAACTTTAGCCAATCAATGCTCTCAAGTACAACTAAAGTTTTTGTCAAGGGGTATCAAAGTATAGAATTTTACTCTAATAAGAGAGGGACAACCCTCACCTTAAAAACCGATTTTGTAGGTTGAATTAGGTCCAAAACCACATTTTAAGATGATATTAGAGCTATCCTAGATTTGACTGCTAAAAATGACCAATCACTGTTTCTACACGCAACGAGCCCAATAGTGTTGCGCACACGAAGGTGTATTGGGAATAACCCAAGTCCCTCATATCCTAGATAACTAAAAAGAGTCGCTCACCATTTATCCACACACCAAGTCCAATAATGTTGGGCATGATAGGTGTATTGAGAAAGATCCAAGTTGCACATCAACTAAAGATAAGGCCAACAAAGAGCAAAATTCTATACTTTAAAAAGGGGCAAAATATCTACTTCTCTATAGTTGTCAATATCATAAAACAATACCAATTATGGATAATAACTGACAATTCTCTGAATAGACAAACAATGATTTAAAGGTTTTGTCTAGTTGAGGCAAAAATGGATGGAAAGAAAGTGGGCATAGTAAAGTATGAAGGTAAACTATATTTTCCATCTATGGTTAAGGAGAGAAAATGGATAGGAAAAAAAAATGTGGAGCCACAAAAAATATATTGCTAAGGAGAGAAATAGGTGAGAAAGAAAAAATGGTAGGAATTACAGATTTATCCACCTCTCGACAATCCTTATGAAAGAATATAAGTCATTTATCATATTGCACATTTTCCCACTCCCATTTCTTCACAATTAAACACATTGAAAGAATATAGTCATTTAATAATTCTAATGAAAAAATATAATAGTCATTCCCACTCCCATTTCTTCCCAATTAAACACAATGAAAGAATATAGTCATTTAATAATTCTAATGAAAAAATATAACAGTCATTGGAAAGTTGTCAAATAAATCCTTTGGTATCTCAAGGGCACTCTTCATCATGGCCTATTTTTTCAACTTATTGCTCCTTAGTCTCCCCTCACTTTAATTAGCTTTAGTGATGTTGCTGGGCATCATATGTTGATGAAAAAACATCAACCTTCAGTTCCTGTATATATCTTTGTCCTAATCTTATCACCTATGGTGGCCAGATCAAGATTCAGTACTTCCTTATTGAATTACAATGTAGATTTCAAACATCAAAGGTTTTGTGACAAGCTTAGCACAATGGCTCACCCTCAAAGTTATCTTTAGAAGACTTGAAGATTGAATGAGATGAACCTATAAAGCTCTACTGTAGTAATAAATCAGCAATTAGCATAGCTCATAATCCTGTTCAACATTATTAAACAAAACACATTGAAGTGGATAGGCATATTATCAAGAAAAAAACTCGATTGTCATTATATTTGTACTCCATATGTACTTTCACAAGGTCAACTTGTAGATATTCTTTACAAAGAATTGTGCAGTCCAGATTTTGAAAGAACTATATGCAAGTTCGGAATGGAAAACATTTAGTCTCCAACTTGAGGGGTGTTAGAAATAGGAACCTATATAAGAAGCCAATAAAACAACTAGAAGCATGGAACCTATGACTTTGACAATCCAAGTTAATCTATAGCAATAGAAATAACAACTTATTTCGGATAAAATAATTATTTATCAGATAGAAAAATATCAAACAAAAATAGTTCAAAGAAACAAAGTTAATTTTGAAGACTTTTGAAGAGTACATGTATACCTGCATTGGTATAATTGAATGCACTTAGTTTGCCATGGCTTGAAAACTTTAAATCATCAAAATCTGAAAAATCAACAAATTAACTAATAAGAGAATCAAAATAAACTCTTACTGAAGAGTAAAAATGATGTTTTCATTCAATGAACAAGGTGTAGACATACCATTGTGTATAACATCCTCACTCCAAAATCGACTCTTTTCTTTGAGGTTAAATAGTGAGAATACAGATGATCTACCACTTTTGCGAGTTTCAATAGGTGATCCAAGTGAACTAACTGCTAAGAACTGTAAAAATCACAATAAGCAGCAGAGTAATGAATGCCCTTATTTACAGAAATAACAAACTTATCAAAGGGATGGCATGACAAGAGGTAACAAGCACTAACAAGTACAACGAAATGAAGATGAAGAGTCAACATGCAGAAGGGAAAAACAAATTTAAATATAAGCACCAAGAGAATATAAATGCATAAATATTTTCTATGTTAATAACACCAATAAAAAAAGTATCATTATTAAAAAATGTTATTTTTAATTGTTAGACATCAGTCAGCACCCATTAAAAGGATGCAAAGTTGCAAACATATTGTAGAGCAGCCAATATCATACATGATCATGATTATTTTACAATTTTATGTATCTGAATTTTATACTTGTTACTTAAGTGATTAATTTAAAGGTTAAGTAACTTTATTAACAGTTAAATTTTTTGGTTTATTTATATAGTATATATTCTTCATTTCCCAATTTTGGTGCCAATATCACTCTGGTCCATGCCTTGTTGACAAAGACTATGAAAATGACATGTACACATAGAATATTAAAAAAATGGATATGTAAGGCTTAATAACCTATTAACAAGTAAATTTCAATATTGTTACAGTGTAGTGATAGTGTTATGTATATTTATATTTTCCTCATATATTTCTTTCTGCCAGAGATAAACCTTTCTGTAGGGTTTCCCGTTCTATTGTTGCATAAAAATTGCAACAGATGGAGACCTTAAATGGTGACCCTAAAAGCTGCTGGTGCCACCAGGTGGCCTCCATCCTGCCAGCATCCCTATCCTCCAAAGCAGAAGCCACCGAACACCCACCTACCGACAACCAAGCACCAATGTTTTATGCTTGCACCACTTCTCCCTCTTTTTGCTCACATGTTGGCACAGTAATCTGCTCTTGGGCAGCAGGACTTTGCTGCCAGCTCCTCCAGAATGTTGACCCAACTTCCCCCCCCCCCCGTTTTCTTCCTACTGTTATCTCTTTGAAACAGAACCCTCAGTACTTTTGTTCTCAACTTGTTTCTCTGTCATAAAAGTACACAGCCTACTCCCACTCATTTTGTCTTCAACTCCTTACAAAATACCCCTGCCCAGTTATCCTCTCTTCAACCCATTTTGATTCCTTATGACCAACCAAACATGCTCAATATTAAATTGATTGCATTTAAAATTGCTTGCACGTGAAGGTTATTGGTTTTGTTTTAAAAGTTGCAAAAAGAGGATGAAGATATATCTAAACTCTGTCTCTGGGTAGGGAATTGTGTCTTTTTGGTTGATGTTCACTTCTAAGGATGAAAGAGGTTTGGATTACTAATATGCTACTTTAATAAGGTGATCTGAAGGAGAAGGTAAACTTTTCTATGCAATGCAATTGAGACATCATAGTTATCAATCCCAGAGAGTATTATCAAAAAATAAGAAAGCAATAAAGTAAGAAAGTAAAGCAATAAAACAAGACAGCAAAGAAACAAGAAAGCAATAAAACAAGAAAGAAATAAAGAAAGCAAAGAAAGAAAGTAAGAAACCAAGAAAACAAGAGAGAATGTGATGGTGTTTAATTCTGAGAATAGTAGAAGTGGAGGAGTACCACTCAGAAGTTTGTCCAGATATGGCTCTGAGTTTTGGGGAGATTACAGTAACATATTCTTACTATCATTTTTTTTCTTTACCCGGAAGAGAGAAAACAAACACATGCCAAGTTTATAAGATCTAAAAAATTTGCCCATCTACCTGAATGAATTATGTCTACCACATGTTTCTAGACCTTGTAAAAGACCCATGGAATCTGCCTTCTTGCGTACTACTCAGAAGCTAAAGGTAAGATGAAAATTAAGACACTCAAATCTCAAATGCATTAGCCAAAACCCTACGGAGCGGAACTCTATTCTCACCAGTCTCCCCCACTATGCCCCACTGTATCACCAGTTCCACCCCCTGCCCATTGAAATCACTTACCACGTAAACTACGGAATAAAAATGAAAACACAATAAGATCATAAAAAAGTTGCAATCTGAAATTAATGAAATCAATTCACAGAATGATCAAAGTGGGAGACCTTCAGATTAGTAATGAACAAAACAAGTATATTACCAGAAGAGTAGAGACGGCGAGTTGGAGCACCCATAGTAAACACTGACGTTTGGCGCTGAATTTGCGAAAACCCATTCTCCTTCCCAACCTCTCAAAGCTTACTGCGAAGAAGATAAATGTTCGACTACTATACAAAGTTATAAACCGTGTCCATGAACTGAACCGGGTGCAGCGAATAATTTTGAGCAGTCAAACGGGTAGGCCCAATTTACCAATGTCTCTGCGCTGAACCGTGTCTATTAAAGTTACTTATCACACCTCTGCACTGCCTTTTTCTTTCTCAAAAGTCAAAATATATTATTTCCATTAATTGATAAATTGAGGTAATAACAGCACTGGCTAGTTTATACTCTTTTATTATTGTGATTTTTAATATACTAGTGTTTTATTTGTGCAATATATTAATATATTAAATATGAAATAAATATTATTTGATAAAGCTATAATTTATAATAAATAAGTATTTTAAATATTTGAGTTATATTATATTTTGGATTTACAAGATATATATATATATAGTAATAAAAATTTTATTTTAAAAATATCAAATTAAATTTAAAATAAAAATTAATTAATTAAAAGATATGAGAGATTGAAATATATATATATATATATATATGCTCTCTTAAAAAATAATTGAAAAATTCCTAAAAAAATATTGTGCATGACCTTTTCTTAATCGATGAAAAACAATATTATTAAGAATTTAAATCTTAAATCCTAAATCTTAAACATCACCCATTTTCGATAACTAGATAATAGTTATTCTAGTTGTCATCAATGAATTTTTTCTTTTAAAAAAATTTTATGATTTAAAAAATAAAAGGAAAATTTCAAGCATGAAATGTGATTGTATAAAAAGGAAAAGAAAAAACAATCTCATATAAAATATATTATCTTAGAACAATAAGCAAATTAAAAAGCATTCAAAAATAAAAATGTATTAAGGTATATATTCAAATTGGAAAGAATTATGGTGATAAACTAATTTAATTAATTAGTTCGTAATATTTTATAACACAATATCAAAGTCATCATATGAGGATAACTTCAAAGGAGTTTTATTGGAAAAGTATTTCCCGTAAGATATCAAGAATAAGAGAAAGATAAAATTTCTTGAGCTAAAACAAGAAAACATATTATAAGAATGTGATGGATTATGTTGTTGAGTTTGAGGGGTTGGTGCGTTAATTTCCTCGCTATAATGGTACAAATGATGAGTATTACAAATGTGTAAAATTTGTGAATGGTTTGTGACCTGGACCAATCAAGATATTAACTCTAAAAAGCTTCTTCAATTCCATATGGTTGTAGTTAAAGGTGAAGGAATATTTATGATGATGACAAAACACGATCAACACACTCTAAGAATGTGAGTTGTGTCAAAGATGTGAAGAACTATGGTTCCTTCATCAAGTCAATTTGAAAACTATTAAAAGAGCTAACAACTTGTTAGTAGTTAGTCTACAAGTAGTGGGAGTGTGGGTTCTTCTCCTTCTACTACATTGAGGTGTGGTAGGTGTGGTCATCTAGGCCAAAAGGTATTCTTATACGAGGACCAAGCGGATACTTTATTCAATTGTCAATGGAAGTGACATATTGACGTGAATTCTCCTAACCCCAATAATGAGTTTGCTAATGAAGGAAGAAGTTATCAAACCAATAGAATAAAGATTATGAGAAAAGTCTTCACTTTGAGTGGTGTAGAAGCTTCAAAATCTAATGGCATGATCCAAGACATGTGCTTCGTAAGTAGATCTCCTTTAACTATATTATTTGATTCTAGTGTGTCTCATTCTTTTATATAACATGTTTGTGTTGAAAAATTTAAATTATCCACGCCTTTGTTGAGTTTTTATTTAATTGTGGAAATATCAACTAGTGGTTCAATTTCTACTTTTAATGTTTGTTTAAAGTGACATTTAATAGTTTATTCTAGACAATTTGTAGTTGACTTAAATAGTTTATCTATTGGTCAATTAGATGTGATACTTAAACAAATTAATTATCTTTTAACCATATCCTGTTAAATTGTTTTAATAAGTATTTTTTTTGTTTGGTGAAATTGTTGAGGGCAAGAATATGAACATCATGATTGTCAACCAAGTTATGCCATCTTTGAAAGGAAATGTCCAAATTTATATAATTTTTTCTTGAAAATATAAATTTTAAAGTAAAAAAGAAAATAATAATCACCTTTGTGTGTAAAAATCCTTCACATTAGCGACTATCACACTACCGCAAGACAGATAGTCTCTAGCCAAATAATAGAATAAAAGATACCAATATTAGGGAAAAAACATTAAAATTACTTAAATGCTATTTTGATAAAGAAAGATAATACAAATTTATTAACAAATATATGTTATTATTTGTTAATCTTAAATTATTAATTTATAAATTAATTTGTGTTAAATATAAAGTTATTTGTTTTTATAAAGAAAAATATTGAAAAATAAAAAATATAAGATAATTTAAAACTATTAAATTTAAAAAAATATCACGTAAAGAATAAGCTAATATATATATATATATATATATATA